GACGCTATCATCGCCCCTGTCGCGCCCTATGCTGCCCCGCCGCATGGAATGAATAAGTGAGGTTTTCTCTTTGCATGTCGTCACGAGCAGATTCCTCAGTCTCGCGTCCTGTTTGAACTTAGGATCTCAAATTATACGAGGATTTGGAGCCTGCTCGATTATCCAGCTCTCGCGCTACCGGTCACTAAAGTGAACCCAGCTATAGATTTGAAGGCCCCTCCTCACCAATTCTTGTGTGATCTTGACAAGGAGCACTACGATTTATGTACGTTGTCTTTGATTTTTGCCGAAGGCCAATGGGGGCTGAACTTCTCAGATGATCCAAATGTCTTCGTCAATGCACCCGTCGCAGTACAGCTCGTGGGGAGAACACTTGAGGAAGAGGCCCTGATTGGGATAGGGGAGGTGGTCGACGCCGCTTTACGTGCCATACCCACACCAGTGTAGACGCGACCCAACCTATCGTCGAATTGCACAGAATCACTGGCCAACGTGTAGTCGCATACAATTATCATCACAACTTTCCGTGGAACGCTTCGTTGACGAAGATACCGGCCGCGCCCATACCACTCCCCACGCACATACTTGTGCAGAGCAGCCTTCCATTTCGTCTTTTGAGCTCGGCGAGGCCCGTCACTACTTGACGAGTACCAGCTATGAATGGCGGGGGGTTAGCCCAAAATGGGGGTGACTATAATCGTGGGTGACTTACTCATGCCAAGCGGATGAGTGAGCGCGATGGAACCTCCACTATAGGCCAAAAATATTGTGTGAAATGAGTCACACGAAAATAGAAAGGACTGACTTGGGGTTGATTTTCTCCATTGGAATTTGAAGCTGCTCGACGCAGTATGCGAATTGTGAAGCGAACGCCTCGTTAATCTATGTACAATCGAATGGTTGGCGCTGAACGATGTTGACAGCTTAAGAGCTCACCTCCCAGACATCGATGTCCTCCTTTGTCAAACCGACTTGGTCCAGGACCTTGGGAATTGCAGCGATAGGACCAATCCCTGATTGATATATTTCTTTGAGCGGCTTGAGCTCGCTCAAAATCCATCAGCACTTACCCATCACGCGAGGTTCGACGCCCACGACGGATGTAGCAACCCATTTGCCCAGAATCTCCATGCCTTCCTTTTCCGCCCGAGCACGAGTAGTCATAATGCAGATAGCGGCACCGTCGCCGATTCCACTCGCGTTGCCAGCAGTGGTAGCTGACGGAGCCCATGCTGGAAAGGCTGGTTTCAATTTGGCGAGGCCTTCTAGGGTGGTTCCCGGTCGGATTGTATCATCGACTGAGATAACAGCACCGCGAATCTCGATCGGTATGATTTCTTCTGCGAAAATTCCATGTTTCGTAGACTAGGGAAAGCAAAGGGTTGGTTGTGGCAATGGAAAAGAAGAGCCTTTGCTCACACGTTCAGCCCTTGAGTGGGAAATTAGTGCATATTCATCCTGAGTTTGACGCGAGATGTTGTAAGTCTCTGCAACCATTTCAGAAGTCCACCCCATCGGCTAGATTAATAAATTAGAGAGTGGCAGGTTAGAAGTCAGGATGAATGCTGACCTGTATGCAATCGTGGGCTTCTCCGTTCTGCTCAACGATCTGCGTCACTTCAGGGGAAGGTCGAGGGCTGGAACGCACACAGGTGAGGATGGAATGATACATTCATAATCGGAGGACTGACTTCTGCGACATACTTTCCACGCCCACTGCGACACCAATTGACGTCTCACCCGATCGAATAGAGTGAGCGATATTACGAATGGACATCAGTCCGGATGAGCATAGCCGGTTAACAGTGGATATGGGGACAGTATGGGGAATGCCTGCTGCAAGTGCAGCAGCTCGCGAGATGTACAACGGCGAAGGTGGGTGACATACACCTGCTCCAGATATATCACCGTTTTCGATCTAAATATGACGATAGGGCGCTCACCGACACAAATATCGTCGATCTTAGCTGGGTCAAGTTTCGTCTTTTCAAGAGTTGCCTACAAAGGCGGTTAGGTCTACGCATGATTTTCGGAGATAAACACTAAACCTTGAACAATGACCGCAATAGCTCATCCACTGGGATGTCTTTCAACTGCCCTTTCTTTACACGACCCATAGCTGTACGCTTTGCAAAGGTGATGACCACGTCATCAGGATTCTTCTGAAGGACAGCAGCGAGACCTTTTGCAGGCATCGTAGATGCTGCACGAGTGAAACGAGGAGCGCGTCGAGCAAGGAATGTCCTTGAAATCATCAGAGCAGTTGAAAATCAAGCAACGGTACAACCTTTCAAGCATGGGGAACTCAGTATTTATTACCGGAGCGACTTGCGAAGCATCGCATCCAAACGGCATCATCAGGTCAACCGGTCAAGAGAGGAGTGACAGCTTCCACACGTGGTCGACGCGATTTACTCTAAGCGGACAACCGCTATACACAGCGAGCGCACGCTTTCCAATCTTCATTACCACTCACAGAAACTTACAAACACAACTCCGTTTCATACCCGCCCCAGTCGCCAGAGCAGCAAGTATAACTATCCCCCCCGTCATCCTTGAGCAGCTATTAAATTCCTGTGAGAACGACAAAGGGACTCGCTGACGACGAAGCCTATGTAATATGGTGCAACTCTAGTGGAGGGCCGAGTCTCCAGATCGTGGTCTGTACCGGCGGGTGAGGTCCAGAGCGACGGTGGAGAGGTGAACAACATACAAGATATTTAGGAGCTGTCAACAAGCGGAACACCTTCCCTCGCTTCCTTCTTCCATCCTCGAGTCAACTTTGAGTAACAAAATGCACAAAGGTGGTGGGCTAATTTCGGTGTACCGCATCCCGGACAATGAACAAGATCTGGCATGGAAGTCAGGTCAAGTAGAAACATGGACGCGATGGAGATTGCAATACACACTCATTTTGTCCTTCAATCCTTTGTTCGCACTACGCATTCGTTTCCGCGAGTGCGAGGTTTTCTTTTTGGGCACGGCGAGAAGAAACGGTGGAAGGAGGTCAAGCAATGATTGCAGCGTTGGCATCGCCCAATTAAACTGTCGAGGGGCTGCCCATGCCGCTGGGAGGGCTGCAGCCATCAAGGGTCTTGAAAATGAACTCCATGAAAAGAAGGAAAGAGCCCGTGTCTGGTGCAAAGCCAACGCAGCCGCCATGTTTCCGGTAAAGAGAGAAAGTGGAGGACTTGAAAGGGGTTTTTAGACTTGTCACAGGTGTCACACTCGTGTTGTCCGACTCCTTCACCACCCGTCATTACCGCTATGTTTCGACTTACACGCCCTCTCTTTCAGCAAGCGTTGAAGAAAACGACTGGTCTAACCGGTCTCGCCGTTCACCCTAATCCTCTCCCAGAGCTCCATAAAACATACCAGTCGACACTTTCTCTGCTTGCAACCATTCCTGAAACATCCGTCTATCGACAGGGTGTGGAGGCTATCACGCAACGCAAACTGAAGATCGTGGAGAGTGTTAATGGGGACATTGCATCAGCAGAGAAGCAGCTAGACGAGGGGCAAATAGAGCAAGCTTTGGATATTGCGAAGGACGAGCTTGGACTTGTTTCCAAGATGATTGAGTGGAAAGCGTGAGTCCTGGTCATCTTCCCAGTCATTGCATCGGTGATCCAACCCCTCCGCAGTTGGGAACCTCTCGAGGAGCAACCAGAGCCAGGTCAATGGGAGTATTTCGGGAAGGGACCGGCATCATGATTTTGTTATAAAGGTAGTTCATAGTAGTGGAGCGTGACTGCAATTCTGACGATGTATATCATAGGATATCTCGACGGGCTTTGGGAATCGTGTACAAGTATGGTTTGATATGCATCCCTCGACGGTCCGTCGGTGCTCGCATCGACGAGGAGTCGCCTAATGGACGTGTTTTTGGGCTGAAGCAAAGATGAGAGCCCTGAACCGTTATCTTCCCTTCGCAATGTTTTCGTTGCCGCAATGATTTGTTTGCACTCTCACTTTCGATCCTGTTGGCGCGAAGGAATCCAAACCGCATGCTCACAACCTTGCGAATCTCCAGACTCTCATGATCAACCGCAGAGGCATTTGATCAAAAATGTACGACATTACAACACAGCTACTGGCTTTCCACCCGCCCTTCAAACGATTATTGAATCGGCGGGAGGGTAAACGTCGCGACCTGAGGTTACCTGGGTTTCTGCCCTGAGGAAGTTCTCTGAAACTTGTGAGTTCCGTCTCCGAGACTAGAATGGGGCGTGAGTGAAGAGTCGTAGGCGCGTGCTTTTATATCATTTTTTTTGTATGTCTCTGTCCATCTCCGGAGGTGTGAGATGCGGAGAAATATTTAACAGAGCCCTATCGTTGAACCTAATGTGCTGCACACGTTCGTGAGATAGGCGATTGGGACGACGGGGCACAACTGTCCGCACTCACGCGTGTCTCGTACATGGGCAGAGGAAGTTCAACTGGGCTTCATGGTCACATTCTACCACTCGTCCTTATCCGACGCCCGCATTGGCGTATGTATTTCAGAGAAGTCGTCACCACCATCCTCCAGGTTTCCCATCAGGTTCCTGGATTCGCCTTGACAATGGAAGAGCGCATGTCACTGCTTTCTGCCCCTCACCGCAATCTTTGGGCGCAGTAACATGTACCGCTCCGACAGATGGGCCCGTGTGAGGTCTACGTACGAACCAGATGTCCCTCAGGACAATGACCCCAAATCAACATAAAAAGACTGAAGGTTTAAAAAAAGCTTCAAGACGCTCTTCCGCTGTGAGCAGGATTTGAACCTACGCGGGCAAAGCCCAACAGATAAATTTGAACGAATTCAAATCTGTCGCCTTAACGACTCGGCCATCACAGCGTTACTGATTATCGGTCCCTTGAGCATATAGGAGGGTTGACCAACATGCCAAGCCCTTTATCATCCCTAGATATTCAACACTTACACCGTATAATCTAACCAGTCGTTTACTCGACCCCGTCAAGGAACTGTGATGCTCAGTACAAATTAATAATTAAACGCTGTGATGGCCGAGTCGTTAAGGCGACAGATTTGAATTCATTCAAATTTATCTGTTGGGCTTTGCCCGCGTAGGTTCAAATCCTGCTCACAGCGGGTAATTCTTTTGCATATATTTACAAATCTAAATATCAGACAGCGACAATCAAGTGACAATTCTGCTTGATAACCTCATCTTATCTCGTCATTTTGCCATTCTGTCCTGATCATGTTGCATTGGACCCAATGACGAATTGCAGGCCTCCCAACTTTGTAAAGAAGTCCCCCAAGAACCCTGACGGAATCCTGAACGTTGTCGTACCTGCGTAAGTAGTCCTCGCCTGCCATGGACAGTACAGTCTGTGACGTCCCTGTCACTCTTGAACATCACGCCTCTCCTCCAATTCCATCACCATGGATTCGTTGATTCCATTTACCACCTCAGGATCTCTTGTGGATTGTGTGGACAGTACGTCTGCCCTCAATCAACTGCTCCACCAGCGATCCAACCTAAGCGAGCCATGATGCATCCTGTTTTATTCATCCTCGCCAATTCCCTCGATTTGGCTTGACTTAGGAAAGATGATGGTTGTCCTGAGAGATGGAAGAAAACTAATCGGAGTCCTTCGGTCGTATGATCAATTTGGTGAGCATATCCCGATCTACTGTCGGGCACGTCTGACTTCCAGCAGCCAACCTGGTTTTGGAAGATACCGTCGAACGGATATATCACGCGGACGTGTTCGCCGAAAGGTGGCAAGGCCTGTATCTCATTCGTGGAGAGAATGTTGTGCTGCTTGGCGAAATAGTCAGTTACACTTGCTCATATTCGCCATTGTATCACCCCCTGATACAATCTACATAGGACCTCGACCAAGAGGACGAAATTCCTCTGCGACAAGTGGAATGGAAAGTCCTTGAACCATACCACAAACAAGATGTTGCGACCAAGAAACACCGGGATGAGTTCAAGGCAGGAGTTCTGTATGAGGAGAAGGGATTCTGCAAGGAGGGAGGGGAAGGCGATGGCTACTGATAACTCCTCTCCCCCAATTGGCAGATTCATTACGCCACGAGAGGTAGACATACCCCTGCACGGCCGTCGTTAGAATGATGTATCTATAAAGCGTCTGTACAGTGCAATTAATCTGAGTATAAGCAATGCTTGCAAAACAAGGGCACAAAGCGACAGATATCGGAAACGAAAGCAACATAGCAAATGCAAATGCGGGCACCTCACAGATCATGGTACAACTCAACCCGCCACAGCCTTCCTCTTTTTCCCGCTCTTGCTCGTATCGCCATTCAACCGAGCCTTACCGCCGCCGTTCGTGTGAGACTTCGTGATGGCTTTCGGCGGGAGGGCAGAAGAATTCGGCCCCGCGGAGACAACTGCCTGCGGGACGAGGATATCCTCAATATGTTTGCGGATTTCGCGTTCGCGAGTAGTCAGAGTTGATATTGCCATTTCTTTCATATCCTTCAAGAATGTCACTTCGGCAGCACGAAGTTTCTGCCACCTAAACAGCATAAATTTGAATTTGGTATCCACTTGGAAGAGGAGTTTGAGTAGAACTTACCCAACATGCCTCTCACACTTCTTCTTCCCTCGACACCACCACTCTCCATGCTGCGCCGTGGCACCATCGACTTGCATACCCTCATCCCCATCCAGATTACCAGTCATAAAATCACCGCCATCTTCGTAGCTCTCCAACACACCCTCCCCGAATTCCTCCCACTCCTCATCACCAAAACATAACCTCTGATCCCACCCACACTCCTCCACTTTCTCTGCTCGTTCAGATGCCAAGGCGGTTAACCTCTCCCGCCAAACGATAACGTCCATCTCCTTTTTCATTTCCTCCCTCTGTTGCATCATCCGATCCAATTGTTTTTGCAACCGCTCCACTTCGCGATCCTTCTTGGTTTTGGTGGGCTTCAGAATCTTAGGTTCGGGTGGTGTAACAGGGCCTTTCGATTTCGGCGGGCGACTTTCGTCAAGCTCGGTCTTGATGGGTTCAGCCTTATGTTTTTTGGAATCAGCTCGAATGACAACACCCTCCCGCTTCTCGGCATCCTTCACGTTCTCCCATAACTTCCGCTTATCTCCACCCTTGTCAGCCCATGCATCAATCCGCATCTGCATAAATCGAATGCCACATTCCTCTGAACAGTATTTCGACAGAATCCCTCGCGCTGGTTTGTGGCATGCGTTCGGGGACGACGGGGTGGGGTGTTTTAAACCAAAGAGACACCGACGCTTGTAAGTCGTATGGAGGGATAGATGTGTGTTTTCTGTCCACGTGAAGGGAGGCGGTGAGAGAGGATCAGTGGACGAGGAAAAACACATACTCTCGACACAAGGAGGGCAGATGAATTGATCCACAAGGTCGACCTCAAGATCAGGCATGTTGACACAAGCCGTGTGGTACCATTCATCACACCTAGAAACTAGTTAGATCGACATGTAAATGGGATCCAAGTAAACGGTACCTCACCTATCACAAGCAATCATCACTCTATCCTCGTCATATCTGGTCTTACAAACGCAGTACAGCTTATCATCATCCTTTTTCTCATCTTCATCCTCTTCCTCCTCCAATTCCTGCTTCAAGCTATCCCGAACGGTCACGGCATTCTCTTTGTCCATATCTTCGCCAGCTGTCGGCATGACAGAAGTCGACCTGGACCGCAAGGCAGAAGCCGATTTCCCTCGACCAGATGACTCTGGGACAGAGAGGGTAGACGAAGTGGTCTTCTTGCCCTTCCCTCTGCCCCTACCAGTGGCAGTGAGGGTTGTGGGGGTACTAGTGCCGAAATCGTCGTGAAGGGCCTTTGGTTTAGATTTGGCCGTCGTCCCAGATGCAGGAGCGGGCTTCTTTCGAGGCCTGGCTGGCTGCTTTGGCTTCGGAGGAACCTTCGTTTCCAAACAGATATGTCATCAGCTTGCCGACACATTCCACCTAGACGATAACTCGACATACCTTTGGCATACCAACCTTCTTCCCACTTGCACTAGCAGAGGCACTCCTCGACTTCTGTCCTTTCTTGGATCCACTTCCTCCATCGCTCTCAGCCTTCAGTTTATCAATAACTGACCTTCCACCAACCCCAGAAGGTACCTGCGGGGGTGGTGGCATCGAAGCTCGATCCGAGGCTTCAGAAGTGTGAGGGGCTGTGTAAGAGCAAGATGTCCCTGGGCGACTGGATGCGAGTGGTAACGAAGGGTGTCGAGAACTCGGAAGGGTTGGTATTGGCGCAAGAGGGTAAGGAGAGTGCTTCTCGGCATGTCTAGTCTTTTGCGAGGACGCTTGAGATGGAGTGGGTTGTCGAGATCCAGGCGGACTATGCGTTATCTTTTTGTCGTGAGTTTGTGGATGACGCGAAAATGAGGACTGTCCTCTGTTCTCCTTTACGGTCTTTGGGTCGTCAACGAGGCTGAGGAGCTCATCTTCGACGTCCATACCATCATCCCCGACGGGAGGCGGGCCTTCAATAGGAGAACCGCCCGTAAGTCCCAAGGCACCCTCGATTTCGAAGTCAACATCTGACGGGGACTTGATCGACACGTCACCAAGTTCTTCCTGAAGAATCGAAACAGGCGTCGACGACTTCTTCTGCTCCGTTCTCTTCGGTGTAGATGTTGATCCTGTCGCCGCTCGACGAGAGAGGGGTTGTCGAGCCGAGGCGCCCGGTTCTCGTTCGAAAGCAGGGCCATGCTGGAGATGAGGAGAAGGGAATGATGTGGAGGATGACCGCGACGACACACCGCACTGTTCAAGCAACCACTCATGCGCATCCTCATCGGCCTTCGGCTTTTGTGGGGGCTGCACTGCCTCGACGGGAATTTGCACCACTGCTTCTTCTTCCTCTTCCTCTTCCTCCTCCTCCTTCCTGAGTAGAGCAATATTTGGTCTCGTATCCCCTAGTTCTGACGATTCGAGAGCTGCTTGAGGTCCAGGAGGCGTACGTGCGCCCACATCTGCACTTTCAGATCTCGACAGGGGACCAAGATCCCGGAGATGCATGCGCGCCTTCGGCGGAAGCAACGACATGCCACCTTCGATACTATCCATACTCTCTTCCTCTTCCTCCTCCTCCAGTTCGGAGACAGAACCAGACCTCCTTCGCCGTTTGTAAGGTGGACCCGGCTCATCTTCCTCCTCTTCAGCCTTGTCAACATCCATCTCAAATATTCGTTTTTCCTCGACGTAGGGTGTGGGCTGCTGCAGATGAAAGTGTTGTAGATGAACATTATCCTGCCGAGGTGGGGAAACACGAGTGGCTTGGGAACCGGGCCTTTCCACCAGCAGAGTATGCCCCTGGATAACGGGGCTCCTCTCCACTGGAGGCGTCCGTTTCACTATCACTGGACTTCGGATCTCCGTCGCAAGAGGGGGTCTTTCTAAGACAGGACTCGGTCTCTGTAGCTCAAGACCCATTTGTTCCATTACAAGATTCCTGGTCTCTTGTACGTGGCTTTCGTGGGTGGGACTAGCCCTCTCCACAACCGAACTTCGCCTACCCTGTGTGACACTCGGATGTTCCATCAGCTGTCCCTCGTTAATCGCGAAACTCCGTTTCTCAAACACAGGACTCCTGACCTCCAACATGGCAGGGCTGCGTTGCTCGATGGAATGAACGGGCCTCTCCGCAATCACGGGTCTCTCCCGAATCACAGGCCTCTCCACCATCATCGGAATGGACATTGCAGGACTTGCCCTCTCCACTACGGGGCTCTGTCTCTCCATCGTAGGACTCCTCTCCATACCTGGGCTCGCACTCAACCTCGCCCCACTCCCACTCCTTCTCCTATCACTACCACCATGCATGGCACTCACGCTTCCCTCAGACACCGACCCCCCACTCAACCTCCTTCGTTCCTCCGTAGCAGCTGCTACCAACGCCTCCAATCCAAAGTATGGAGATGGCGGTTGAGATCGTGGAGGTTGTTGAGGAAGGGACTGAAGCGGAGGCGGCGGTTGTGGTTGTGGTTGTGGTTGAAGCTGCACCTGACGATGCTGGTATTGGTGAACTTTCGGAGGTGGCGGAAAGGTAGAGGATGCAGAGGGAGGATGTGCGTGCCTATAGGTTGGGCTCCTAGAAGTCGACTG